GGTATCGGAAATCAAAAAGAGGTATCAGTCCATCCCTAACAAACACCATGGGAATGTCCAGCCATCATATTGCTCCGGAAAGAGACGGGTTCTGTGTCCCAGAGACTAACATGTTTTGGTGCAAAATGTGCATATCAACACCAGAACAAAAGTGAAAGATCTTGTGAGGATGCTGGCTAAAGCTGGTAAAGAGAGTGTCATTATCCACAGTGAAACGAGTCCTGTACTGACATGGGCTGAAAGGCTATTCGGAGAGGAAGAAGCTGTTGTTACTTCAACAGAAAGCCAGATTACAGTACGCAAATGCACACGGGGCAAAGACCTTAGGTTTTGGAGACATGTCCTGTGGTCTGATGAAAATAAAATTGAACTGTTTGGCCATAATAACTATTGTTATATTTGGAAGAAAAAGGAGGACGCTTGCAAACCTGAGAACACCTTTCCAACTGAAGTACAGGGGTGGCAGCATCATGTTGTGGGGGTGTTTTGCTGCAGGAGGTACTGGTGCACTTTACAAAATAGATGGCATCATGAAGAAAGAACATTATGTGGAAATATCACAGCATCATCTCTAGACATCAGCCAAGAAGTTAAAGCTTGGGCCGAATGGGTCTTGCATTTGGACAATGACCCTAAGCATACCACCAAATTAGTTACAAAGTGGCTTAAGGACAACAAAGTCAATGTTTTGGAGTGGCCATCACAAAGCCCTGCTCTCAGTCCAGTAGAAATTTGTGGGCAGACTTGAAAAGGTGTGTGCGAGCAAGGGAGTTTAGAAACCTGCCTCAGTTACACCAGTTCTGTCAGGAGGAATGGGCCAAAAGTCCAGCAAACCATTGTGAGAAGCTTGTGGAAGGATACGCAAAACGTTTGACAGTTTTGGGTATCTAACAATGGCACTAAGGAAATGTATGTAAACTTCTGACTTTGAAGAAAGTAATACAAAATTCTCTAAATAATTCTCCCTCTCACTATTGTGGCATTTAGCAAAGAGAAAGTATGTTGGTAATCCTAACTGACCTAAAACAGGAAAAGTTTAGTCACATTTAATGTCAGATCGTGAGAAAAAAAAAGGTTGTATGTCTTTTTATACAGTGTATGTAAACTTCTGGTTTCAACTGTGTACTTGATCATAACACTCACGTTCTTCCTTTCCATTCTCCCTCCCTCGTTCTTTCCTTTCCTTCTTGGGTTTTTTAAGCAGCCCTTCCTCCCCAGTTGACACCACTGATGTCAGGTTATGAGACCCAGACATGCCTGAAACCCCTGCAGGACCTGAGGTTAATGCCACCGGTGGCACAGGTGGATGACAGCTTGAGCTGGGTGTTGGCAGCATCTCTCCCTCTGACACAGACTGGTACTGCAGCAACGACTTCAGCAGGAACCTGGTAATGAAAAATTATTAGTATTAGTAAAGCAGGTGTTATGATATCAAAACTATGCTAAAATGGTATCTGAGAATAATAATGTTACACTATGCAGCACTAGAAAAACAAATTCATCATATGTAAGAATTTAGAAAAACAAAGACAAAGGGACACAGCTATATAGATCCTTGTGAAACACATCAGTTGCCCAGTTTATTTATTTTTATAACACCCATATAGGTCAAACACCTGGACATACCTGCGTTCCTCCTTTGCTCTCAGAAACTTCTCTTCTAAGTGAGCAACTTCATCACAGAGAGATGCATTCTCCTGTTGGCAAGACAGTGTTACTGCACTGAAAAGAACTGAACTGAACCGAACTAAGGCCAGGCTCACATTAAAAGACGTTTGGACTACCATTGTTTCACCACTCCTGACAATTGGAGAAGAATCTGCACTAAGATGCTAGTCTTCAAACAGTGTTTCACCCAGATAGATTTCATATTGTCAGGAATTTACAGATCCAGTCTCAAACCTTCCTGAGCTGCTCACAGACCCATTGGGGCTGCCCTGATTAATGTCAAACATGTTTGATATTTATAGTGATGGTTACAATTATTACACTTGCCTCCGGAGCAGCGGACACTGTTGCCAAGCAACACTAAACATTCTAGCCCTTGAGGCTAATGTTAGTATCACATATTAAAACTAATAATTCAAATCTTTCCTCCTTTTGTTGCTAAAACGTATACAACCAGTGTTGATTGCATCTTTCCAAATATTTCATACTGACTTGTTTAGCTTTTGTTACAGAAAGTTGTTAAACCACAGACTTATTTTGTTTACATTTGTGTCCATATGAGAACACGTGAGGCGAAGCACTACTCCCTGTCCCTGATTGCTCCCTATGGCACAATAATCTTAACAGAATATTGTATTATGTGATGTGCCATTATTTTCCATTTTGTAGTGTATGCATGTCTGGGATTAGAGAGAAGAATATCTGTATATCTAGCTCAATTTCATACTACATTACGATTGTAAAACTCCTGTAGTGCGAGTCTGGCCGAAACTAATAACAGATTATGTCTGACTGTATATTTCATTTCATTGCTGTCTAGATGACAAGACAATTTTTTGGTAATGTCTTATATGTATGATGTAAAACAATAGTTTCCCCAGATACATGGATTACTTACAAATATCATAGCACGAGCAGCTTTGCGCAGCCTGAGGTACTTGAGCCTGTACTTTTCGTTCTGGTTTTTTCGTGGACCTCTCTTCATCTTGGCCTTATGCTCAGAGGAAGTGGTGGGAGTAGGGAAGGCGGGCAACGAGGCACCTGAGCCAGAACTGGTATTCTGCTGAGGAGAGCCGAGGAAAGACTGCACAGTGAAGGCCTGAATGGTCTGCTGCCGCTCCTCATCAGTGTGCAAAGAGACAAGAGGAGAAGACAAAGCTCGAGATCTGTATGTATGAACCAAAAAAACCTGAGGCTAATGTTTATATTGCCTTCAAGATGGTGAAATGCAGACAGAAAAAATAACACTGATGCAGCTGCTACTTAAAGTGCTGTATGACAGACAATGAAAGTTACTGAAAGCACAATGTACACGGACTGCTGAAGATTGAAAAAATTCATACAAAGAAATTATTTCTGCTCTGAATTTATTTCAGAACTCCTCTGGGAGTGTTTAAATCCTACACGCCTTTGCAATTAGTAATCCAACACGGCTCAAAGATCAGCCAGATAGCACTGAATCTCTACAGAAAAGCACTGTGCCTACCACATTTCTGTCTACACAATAGAATTATAACGGGCAGTGATATGTATCCAACTACCCCTCTGGGCCTAAATCTTTTGTGAACAAGCCTCAGTATTTATCCACAAAAAACAGAATGGCATACAAAGTCAACTGAATTCTCAGAATCTAATAACATTTAGGTTTTGTATGAAAGCAGCATTAGTACCCCAGAGAACTCACCAGCAGTGCAAAGACTCCATTTCTGTTTTCAATCCTCTTGAATCTCCTGCTGCCTTTTTGTGTCTGAAACATAATGTGAGACTGAGGCCAAATGCAAGGTTCTGGAAAAGCTAAATTTGATTTCTAAAAGCTGCATGTCAATTTAGATTAATTAGATGTCAGATTCATTTCAATCATTATGAACAAGTTACAGCAAGCTTAAGGCTTGTGCAAGTGAGCACAGAACATTCTTTGTTCCGATTGCAGCATTAAAATATCTGTCTTCTAAAAGTTGTAAATAAAAGGTCAAAGAAGCAGAATGGGAAAACATGGAGAAACAAAAAGATACTGACAGAAATACAAATGACACATGTACCACTAAAGTATTGAAGGTGTAAGTTATTACACTCAACAGCAGAGGTTGCTGTCAGCCTGAGTCTGAAACGTCCTCCTTACCTCACGGTACATGACAGCTTCCAGGCTTGATTTTGCACTGTCAAGAAAAGAACAGCAAGGTAAGCAGAGTCTAGATGTAGATTCAGGCATTAAAAACCCTAGTGCAAGACACTGACCACTCATATCTCTCCTCTTTAATGATTTGCCTAAGGGTAGAGCAGATGTCTGGTACAAATTTGATTTTCATGAACTTGTTTTGGTACTATTCAGCTGTAGCAACCAACATTATCACGGAACAAAAACAAAGTAAATCTTTTTAAATTCAAGAGACTGATAACGAATACTGTTATTTTAGGATATGTCTTCAAATATGTATAAATAGTTCATATTGTTATGTGTAGTAAAGTGAGGTGACTGATGTACTTGGATTGCACAAGTCCTCTGTCGATGATTCTCTGTTTAATCTCCTTTATGTGCATGGGGCGTCCAGCTTCCTCCAAGACAATCTAAATGAGTGAACGAAAAAACCAAAGTACTTGTTGAAAAAATTCATAGCAGGCAACAGTGGCCAGTGATACAGATACCAAATCTAATCAAATATGTCATGTTTTAAAACAACCTAAGTAGACCAAAGTAAAGTACACCACACTGAAATATGATGATTAAGCAGATACCTGTGCAGCATCGAGCCATGTAAGGTTTGGTTTCTCTGCAATTTCCGTGGGTGGTTCGCTACAAAAAGAAAAATGCATTGTTACTCATAAAATAAAACATAAAGCATATATTTATCCATACTTTAGTAAATAGTAAAGCTGTATTTTGCATGTCTTCAACAGCAATAATGCCAGGGAAGTCACCAAATTAAGAGACCCAACAATAAAAGAACAGAAAAAAATTATACAGTCCACAACTGCAAAGCACCAGAGTTGTTTGGGAGATACTCTGGCACTAAATCATGGTGTCAGATCTGATCTGTATTTTGATTTGATTCTCTGCAAGCACAAAATTACACCAACTGATCACATCAGTTTTGATTTCAGCACATTCATAAGTTAGAACTTTGTTAACCCCAAAGAAAATTCATGTGCCAGGTATTGCGAAGAAAGAAAAAAAAAGAAGCAGTAGTATTAGAATAAATGCACTGCCTATTGAAACAGCATCAGCAGCCTTATAAGTACAATACATTAGGGAAAAAATAAATTAAAAAAGTAAGCTAAAACAAAACTAGAACAGTGAGAAGTAATACTGGCAATCATCATTGCTCATGATAATGGAATAGTGCACATGATACTGAAGCTAAAATACAGAACATGCTATTGCCAATTTAATATAACCTAATTGGTTTGAAGTGATAATGCTGATTTGATGGTCCGTTCTCAAGAATACTCTAATTTAAAGTATTAATACAGGCAGAGTCCTATTTGTTCTATACTCAGTGGGTCTGCAGTGGACGTTGCTACAGTGGAAAACTGTAAAGGAACTTTTTTGAACAACCTCTCCAGAGTTTCTGAGGTCCCAGATAGACTTGCAATGCTGTCCAGGGCAGGAAATAGGGAGTAGTTCCCCTGTCCGTCAGCTTCCATTTCAGATTCAAACGTGTTGAGAGACTCCATGAAGGACAGGGACGAGCCTCTAGGAGGAGAAACAATAACAAGAAAGTCATTACATGATAGTGTTTCTGTCTACAGGTATCTCATACACAACATTAACACGCAACATTAAGCCTGTAGGCAAGGCGAAACACAGAAACCTGTAAATAGTGTTTCAACTACAAACGTAACACTTGCTAATTACGCACAGCTTCTAATAACATTAATATACAAGGGTAAGAGTTGGCTAAAAGCAAAACAGCCATACCTACATGAAACGGCAGCAAAACCACTTCTTTCAGTTCGTGCTCCCGAATGCTAGTTTCCGTGTCAAGCGGAAACTTCCTCAGTCGCTTTGTTTACATACAGAAAGGCTAAATGCTAACAGCTAGCAGCAGCCTCTGTCCTAAATGTAGCTATAACACAGAGCGGTGCACAGAATGGATACTTCAGTAATGTGGTTCAAAATACTTACATTTTAACGTTAGCATAACAAATAGACAGACCAGCATAAATTAGTGAAAATAATATCCACGTTGAAAAAAAGGAGATCGATAGAGGAACGGAAGGCAGTGTTTCACATCGAACATTTTTACCAAGAGGACGAACTGGATATCCGGTACAGTATTCGTAGATTTTAAGCTACATGCAGTTACAAACATATACTGTACGCAGTCTATGGTTAGAAATGTGATGCATTTTTAAAACTACAAGTACAATAGGAAAATAAAAATTGTGTGTTGCTTGTATAATGGACTTGTTGGGTTAAAAAAAAAAAGAAGAAGAAGAAGAAAGAAAGAAGGGAAGAAAGAAAGAAGGAAAGAAAGAAAGAAAGTTTTAACAGTATAAAATGGGCCAAATGATACACTGCAAAACATCTAACGGATTTTTTGTAGAATTAATTAATCTTTTCTTATTAACTTAATGTACATACAGGTTTGTGAATTTTAAGTTTGAATTTATTGAAAGGACAGCCCCATAAAGAGCAGCTGAAGCCATTTGATATCTGATTAGTTAATGCACTTATGAACTGAAACTTAAAACCATTAAAATAAGAAAATAACAATCATATGCAGCAGCAAAAATAGGTAATAGATTTCAGAAATGGAATCGGAAAGAGATTTGTTGTAAAATGACATGAGTTAACCTTGTTTAAAAATTCATGCACAAAGAAAATGGGTTGTTGCATATATGTGAATGGCTATGTAGCTGTACAGAGAATCAGATACTATTTAAAATAGGAAGGCCATAGAAACTAAACATATTTGAAAAAGCATTGTGCCCAATTAAGCCTAATTGAACCAATTAAGCAATTCATACAAGATAGTACATTCAACCTACAAAATGTAGCTTATGTATTTTGATGGGCTGCAAGGTGGCGCAGTTGGTAGCACTGTTGCCTCGCAGCAAGAAGGTTGCCGGTTCGCGTCCCGGTGGGGGCACTGGAATCTTTCTGCGTGGAGTTTGCATGTTCTCCCCGTGCAGCGTGGGTTCTCTCCGGGTTCTCCGGCTTCCTCCCACACAGTCCAAAAACATGCTGAGGTTAATTGGTGATTCTAAATTGTCCGTAGGTGTGACTGTGAGTGTGCTTGGTTGTCTGTCTCTAAGTGTAGCCCTGTGATAGACTGGTGACCTGTCCAGGGTGTCCCCTGCCTTCGCCCTAAGTCGGCTGGGATAGGCTCCAGCCCCCCCGCGACCCTAATGAGGATTAAGCGGTGTATAGAAAATGGATGGAATGGATGTATTTTGATCATTTTAAAATTTAGAAACATTAGTTATCTGACTCGATTTGTTTTTATTTAAAATGACTTTAATTAATTTACAGCTGAGAGTCTAATCAACTCATGAGATCAGGGTTTGAAGAATCAAAATTAAACCCTACTAAATTCCCCACCATGCACTGTTAGAGAGCTAAAACCCTCCAGATCACCTTCTTCTGTAGAAGAAGGCTTATAGAACCAATTCATAATGAAAACTAGTTGTGTGTCATGTCAATGTTATAAAAATGATTGTTTCTTTACATTGCAAAGTGTGCAAACCATGAGGAAAGTTAAAATTAAATTCATTTTAAATCAGAGTGAATGCAAGCAGCCTCTTACAATATCTTATAACCAAAATGGTTTCAACACTTGCAAATGACAGTTCTACATGTTAGAAGAATTTACCGCTTAAATTTGGAAAATATATAAAAAAGAAAAAAAAGAAAGCAAGTAATGATTGTCTGAGAGACAGCAGAGTTTAGTCTTTTTTTTTTAAGTTAAATTTTTGACCTTTTTGCCTTTATTTGAGAATGCAGTTGAGAGAGAGAGACAGGAACGTGGGGAAGAAGAATGGGGGAAGGACCTGCAGAAAAGGGCCACGAGCAGTATTCGAACTCATGACTAGGACTATAGCCCCTGAACATGGGATGGCAGCTCATCCAGGTGAGCAATAGCAGCACCCCAAGTTTAATCATTTTTATATATTACATAGTTTGTTTATTTTTACTCAGTTTTACAGGTCAAAATACATTTGACGATGTTGAAATAATTACTTATCCTAAGTTCGCTGAACTTGTATTCTGAAGGAGGCAAGAGAACTTGTGTTTCCAAATTGAAGAAGCTTAAAATGATTTATAATGTACTTAAAATAAATGTCCCAGTGCTTCTTGTTTCATAAGCTATCTTAAATGTCTTATAATGTGTAAACTTTGAGTGTTTTTTTTTGTGTGTGTTTAATCTCTACAAAAAGTTTCCAGTTGCTGTTGTTTTTCCTCCTCTGTTTATATCATCTGTACCTAATTTTAATGGTGCCCTGCTTTACTGGGCAGAAACTGGGCACACAAAAATGCATTTATTCTTTCTTATTTTTCTCAACTTTAAGTCTACATTCTTTCTAAACAGTAATTCATGATCTAAAACCTTTGTCCATCTATATTTTAGCCCGTATCAGATTTGTAATTTGTAATGTAAAAATCTAGAGCTGTTTGCCAAGAGTTTCAGATTCTGTTACATATTGCTTACTTATACAGTGTTTTTCTCTTTCTCTTTTTGGTGGTCTGTATGTTTCCAAATAATTTCTTTAACTATTTTCATTATTGCCAATATTGTAAAGTCTTAAATGTTTGCATGGTTGTGTTTTGTGTGTGCAGAAAACAACACACACATTGCAGGGATATCTTAAAGTATAAGTATATGGCAAGTATACAACCAAGATGGACTGCTTTGAAAAAGTTCTTGAAAATTCCTAGATGGCAGTAAGAAATCAATACATCTGTTACTATGTTTTGTGTGTCGGTCAGCTCAGCAGACAAGAAAAAAAGAAAAAAAAATAAGGTTGGATTTCCCTTAAATCTATTTAAGTAAGTAAGTAAGTAAATAAGTAAATAAATAAATAAATTTCTGTCCTAAGACAAGCAAAAAAAAAAAAAAAATCTGTACCAATTAAAGGGTTGATTCACCCAAATTACAAAACAGCATTTTCTAACTCACTGTATGTGGTATTTAGGGAAAGGTTTCAGCCAAAAATTTTATCAGCTGAGGTTTGGAGCTAGCCTACAAGTTTCTTAGAATTATGCATCCCTGTTACAATAGAGGTGAATGAAATGTATTTTGCGGTGGTGGCCTGAGTAATTCATAGACCTCACTGTGGACAGTTTTCTGTTGGTGTAATAGTTCAAATAACAAATGTTGGGCAGTGTTGTCAGGATTATCTGGAGGATGGGGACACAATGTTTCTGGAAAGAGATGTTGCTATTGTGAAAAGCTGTGAAGATGACATAAATAAAAATCCCTGCTATGTTGGAGTGGCAACAGAAAATTCAGTAACAGATATTTCAAAATGTGCAAATAAAACCAAACCTAAGGGAGAAAATGCCTGTTCTTGCTGATTATAACTTCTGCACTTGATAACTTCGGTGACCTGTTTTTGTTGTGTGCCTCAACCAGCTTTGTACTCTGTGCACTTGTGAAACACTGCACTATAAAATCTTTAATTTATCCATATTCCAGGAAACATTAATGTCTCCAGTCACTTTATATGTTGGATTTCCTCTTATGTGGCTAAACAAGCCCTGTGGTCCTAATTGTAAAATTGTCGCATCTAGGCAAAAGACAAGTATATTTCACATCATAATAGTTCAGACATGATCGAGAACAACCATTGGCTTAAATTATTTTTTAATTTTTGCCATCACTTGGGTTGGTTTAGGCAACTAACAAAATCCTGCTAATTACTTATGGACTCATAATGTCTTTGTTGTTATGTCTAAAGGGGGAAACTAAGCTCATGCGTAGCTCCATTTCAACATGTATTTGTAACTCTTGCTTGTATTCAGAAGACAGCTTTTAAACTGCTTATTTTACACCCACAACTGTGGCATTTAGCATCATTGAAATGATCCCAACAAATACATTTATCATCATACTTCATTTATCATCATATGATACTTGCAAGTATCATACAGAAAACAGCAGCAGTTGTAAAACAAATCAAAGATTATTTGCAGAATTGATGGAATGATAATCATTTGCTATCATTTGCAGGCCTCTTAATGGACAGCAAAGCACTAGGTTACCTTTTGTCCACATCTTAAAAACATACAATACATGACTCCTTCATAATATTGTAAGTACAGTGTGTATTTTGTATGGCATTAGTTGTGTCGTGGTACGAGTGGGTTCTCAGTAGCAGTTGAGCCAGCCGTAGTTGAGCAGAACGCGCATCACTCTCCTGTATGGCAGGTAGTACTCGCTTTGTCTGGGGCCATCTGAGAAATACAGATATCCTGTGGAAGGACAGATTTAGTTTATATTTAAGTATGCAACTAAACCCTAAAGGCCAACTGACATGTTTTTTGATAACTTGAGGAACTACAATAAGCTACAAACGCAACATTCACATACTAATGAGTCCATAATTCCCTGTCTTTAACTCTGTTTTGGTCTCCATTGCCTTTTGAGAACAATGTGTGGTTCTTTGCTGCTATGCCCCATTATTTTCGCCAAGTTGTCATTAACTTTGTCCACCATTTGGTTGTGGACATAGCATACGGTTCTCTTGGTTTAGCAGAGCTTTTTTCGCCTATTTGCCAAAATTAGGTTGATAGGAAATATCAGAAGAACTAAAACAGTAAAGTTGAGGTCTGTAAATCTACAACAGTGATACGAAAGGTGCTAAAACCCTCCGTCAGGCAATAAATCTCTATAGGTTTGTCACTGTGAGGCTTTTCGCAATAACTATGACCATTATGCTCTCTGTAAATTGTGGTACAAAGGAAATAGTAGTGAAATCAGTAAAATGCAAAACATTTCTCACCATAATTCTCAAAGGCTGCATCTACTTTAGAACCAATGCCCGGGAAATCCTGAGTGATGTATCGGGGGTATCCACTGTCCATTTGGTTTGTGCGCTCATCATACCTATGAAAGTAAGAGAGAAAAGTGATGCTATTGGAAACTGTGTATAGGTATGTAGGCATACCTAATAAATTTCTCTCAGTGATACATGCTTGTTTTCATTTTTCTATACTGAAGACCATCAGGTATATACCATGGTAATAAAAAAATAAAAACATGATCTCGACAACACTTACCTCCAGTACTTTTTATTCACAAAAATTAGTGTTTTTCCAGTACTTGACACATAGACGGCTGCATCCACCTTACTGACTGATGACGGGAGGCCAAGGTTGGTGATAGACTTTGGATAGCCTGGCAAAATTGTTTTTGCAAAAGCCCTTATTCCCCAGTATTGCCGACCTATAGAGAAACAGCTGGAAGTTGTTATGTCTTGTAGTTCCCTGTACAGGTTCACATTTATCAGCTCCTTCAGTTCATCATAGTCATATTTTACCTGAACCAAAACCCAATGAACATTACCTTCAAAAAGATACACCACATTCTCATTTGGGACTTCATAAGCAGCATCAACATAGTTGATTCGTGACCATTTTGTGTTCACTTTCGTTAAACGGATTCCTTGGAAACTTGCACTCTTCCTCCAGTAGTATCTAATAAACATGTTACAGTGAAATGCAAAAAGATGTAGGATTTATGCTCCACTTAAATATGCTGAGTATCACATATTCAAAATTTACCCATTTTTGAAGAAGTATAGGTCTCCCCTGATGGAGGTAGCGGCATCAAACACTAGCTCACGGCTACATTGTTCCTCTCGGGGGTTGGAATCTTCTGTTGGGTCCTCTGGTTCTGGACTGGGAGGTGGTTTTGGTTTTGGTGCTGTTGTAGGCACTGGTGTACGGCTGCCTGAAAAATGAAGCAATAAATTCAAAAGTGAATAACCTATGATATCTTACTATCGCCACTGATAGACCAAAAGATGCACTCTTAGAAACATTTATTTAAGCTGGAGCCTTAAACCTATGCATGTCATGTCATGATCGGGGGCTGCATGGTGGCTTGGTTGTTAGCACCGTCATCTCACACCCAGAGGATCCCTGGTTCACGTCCCAGTTAGGACGCCTGGGCTCTTTCTGTGGAGTTTGCATGTTCTCCCTGTGCAGCATGGGTTCTCACTGGGTTTTCCAGCTTACTCCCACAGTTCAAAAATATGTTGAGGTTAATTTGGGGATTCTAAATTGTCCATAGGTGTGAATGTGGGTGTGCTTGGTTGTCTCTCTGTGTGGCCCTGCGATAAACTGCCGACCTGTCCAGGGTGTCCCCTGCCTTCACCCTGAGTTGGCTGGGATATGCTCCAGCCCCTCCACGACCGTAGTGAGGATTAAGCAGTGTATAGATAATGGATGGATGTCATGATTAGAGATTCATGTAGGTCAGTTCAGTGTTTGCATTTACCATAAAGGGCTTGAACACCACGTCTGTCATCGTCTGGCAGCCTGTATCTGTTTGTGTTGACATATTGATAGGTGGGGTACATCAGTGCACGTCTGTCTCTGGAGTGATCCAGACCCAGAGCATGACCAAACTCATGGGCAGCCACCAGCAGCAGATTTACACCTGAACATAACACAATTTTATGACATTACACTTGTTTTCCCTGCATTTATTTAGATGATGTACACCATTAGAAACAATAGGCACAGATTATATACTTCTCCAGTGGATAGGGCAAGTTCAGCTTTACTGCAATAACATGATGGAATGTGTTTACCTCTTTGGGTCAGAGTCCAGGTTTCATCATCATCAAAATGCGTGTCCCCTCCCTGACCCTGTCCAGGAGAGTTAGCATGAGCCAAGACTCCACCTGCTCCATCAAAAGGGTAAAAGTCCCCATGATCTGCAACATGAGAATGAAGATCATGTTTAAGAAGCTTATACTAGCATACAGAAAGAAAATATTCCCAAAAAACAGGAGATCACCATATACACCTATACATAACTGACACCTTAATCTTAAACCATGATCAAGTAAAAAAGGCAGAATTTGTCTGAAAAATACTGGTGAATTCTTGTTTTTTATTTTGTTTCCAGATAAAAAATGTGTTCTATCCAGACTCACATCCGCCCTTAAACAGGATCATGATGTCCGCCGTACCGCTGGTGACCTGTTTAAAGTCCAGTGGGATGACGTCACTGTAGAGCTGAAAGGCCTGAGCGATGGTTGTATCCACCTGACGCTGGGTCAGATCTGGAGTGTACTGAGTGATCCTGTTCAAATCATATGTTGTTTTTTTTGGTCCACAGTCATATTTATATACCCAAACACCCAAAATAAGATACAATAAGATAAGATATGCCTTTATTTATCTCATAGTGGAGAAATCCACATTGTTGTTAGCAGCATTACACATGGAGATACACACATACTAGACAGAAAAGTGTACATATAAATATAAGAAATAGTGCAAACAAATATAAAAGTCCACATAAAAAGAGAATAGTGCAAACAGAATATGAGAATGGGCTTCTGAATGGGGGTACATAGAAATACAATAATATGAAGAAATATTGACAGCATTTTATCCAACCAGGTTCTGTACCTGTATGTAATTAGCCTTTTTTTCCATTTGGGTCGTCCAGGGAAGTGACCATATCGGCTGATGTCTGATATGCCACACCTCGGGGCCTTCATCACATCTACAGTCTCTTTATCCAAGACGCCAGTCACCTGTTAGTACATAGATGTAATGTTTTTTTTTTTAGCCGACCTCACTCGAGTGATGTTAAACGTTAAATATTTAATGCATTGCAATTACCTCTAGGCCAAAGAAAGCCTGCATGGCCTGGAGATCTTGAATGAAGGAGTCATTTTGGATTCTTCGTATTGACGAGTTTGTCATCCCAACATCAGCGTAGAACTGAGAAAGATATCCCTGGTGCAGAGAGAGGAAAGATATATTTAGAAAGTGATAGTATATTATCACGTATTATTTTTATGTATGTATGATTGTTTTATTTTGGTTTTTTTTCTATTCCCTAATGGCTGATAGCTGCCAGTATTGATATTGACATGGTATTACCTCAGCCAGGTCTTGGTCCTCAGGGGACATTGTTGGAGCAATAGTAGGTGCTGCATGACACAGGGATAAAAGACCCAGCAGCAGTATCCAAAAACCAGCAGGAGGCATCTTGTTCAAATGTTTTCTTCTCTCCATCCTCTCTTCTTCTAAAAGTCAACCTCAGCAGCTTTAGGTGTATGTTGTCCTGCTAAAAGCTAAATAAGAGCACAGAGTGTACTCTGGAGTTTTATAGTAAAAGTAAAGAGAGTTCAGGGGAAGGGGAGGGAAGAGGGGCCCCTCTGATAACACAGTTGGAGGAGATTATCAATTTAACTTCACTGATGAACCATTTGAGAAGATTTTGCTTTGTTTTGTTTTGTTTTGTTTTGTTTCATTGCTCTTCTCTTTTCACGAGTGGAATAAATTGTTTTATACCTCATATGCGATTTCTTTTCTTTATCTGAAATCTTTGTAAACTTTTTTGCACATGCACTGTGGATCAAACTAAAGCTGCAGACAGCAAGAGCACCCAAATTAAATGAGACTGATCTCCCTTTATTAAAATCTTTAGTAAAATGATTTGTCCTAAGTAAAACTGAAACATGAACTTAGAAAACTCTCACACAGCTTTAACTTTTTTTTTTTCAATTTGTTTGTGTTCAGTATGTGTATGTACTTTATGATGACCTCTAAAGTACACTGTCCACAGTCCATTTTGCTTCGTAAACATGAGTGTGATGTGTGCAGGTATTATATGACTGATGCAGGCTGCAAATATCACCTCCTGCCATTTCAGGACGCTAAGGCTGCCAAAGTTTTCTTGCACAGATTTAAAGAACATTTCAAGACAAAGTGTAATCGTCTGCACTCATTTGCTCATTTCTATGTAAATCTGCTTTGCCAGTCAATATATGATCACAGAAGTATGACGTTGAAGCTTAAAATATCTGTAAAAAAAAAAAAATCCTTCACTGGTACAGTTCATATTTACAGTGTCATTTTTAAGGCACGTAAAATGGATATTTCCATTTAATGCTATTTTACTGCATAGCAGAAGCAATTACTTGGTTACTTTGCAGACAAATATTTTGAAAACATGCAATGTGCATTTAAAATAATGAACATATATATAATTATAAATAATATAATATATAACCGTAACAGGTATATAAAAGAGGTGAAATTGTTGACTTTTATACCTAGAGTTTGTACTTTTCAAATAATATTTATGTCCTTGGCAAATTTCGAAAGCATTTTACTTGTTTTTTAAAATGGGTTGTTTGAAATATATTTTCCATCCATCTTGATGAGAAAAATTATTTTAAAAATACTGGTATTTAAAAGCACCAATAAATGTATGATGAAAAATTCTATTTCATTGAATTAAGTTTAATAAGACATGTCATGTTTTCATACATAGCTAGAGTTGTGTTCACTAATGTCATATATTTATGAGGTTGC